AGGACCCAGATTGTTGGGGGCAATATGCTGACTCTCTGTAAACCGCTTAGAGAGGCCTGAAAGGCCTATGAAGCGGTATATAAGTCTACTGCTATTCCCTCCTACAATAAGGCAAGTGGCGAGCTTGGGCTCCCCCCCCCCTGGAATAGCAGGCAGTCCTTCCTTGGTCTTATAGTGGTAGCCAACTTGCTCTGTACCCCACAGCTTCCAATGCATAAAAGAGGCATTTCCTGCTTCCCTCCAAAACAGGTTGAATGTTCTGCTTGAGCAGGGGGTAGGACTATAAGACCTCCAAGGTCCCTTCCAACTCTGTTATACTGTTACTGAATTATTGCATCCTTCCTCTCTCCAAAGAAGATTTAATTAATATCCATTGAGTTTTGGACTGTATAAGGTCTAGGATCATTATAACTGTATAAACATTTCAATTTAGCAATAGCAATATAGCAATAGCAGTAGACAATTTAATTAATAATTAAAGTTTCAGTAAATTCAGAATACAACCAGAAAAGGAAATAATGGGGAAATAATGAAAAAGAAGCAAATCTTTTTGCTTGATGTCTTTCCTTTTTCTGCACCAATCCAATCTGGATGACTTTGGGCTAGTTATTCCCTCTCAGGCCTAGGAGGGAGGCAATGGCAAACCACTTCTAACAATCCTGGAGGCAGTTGCCAAGAGTCAAAAAGGATTTGGTGGAGTAACTTTTAACTGTGCATGTGGCAAATTATTATATTTTCAGTTCCTATATTTTAACTAAGAAATATGTGAAAACTTCAACAATTGTTATTTCATGTATTTGCAATTTAATCATGTTCTCAGCTTGAGAAGCAAAAAGTGTTTAGGAAAAGTTGCACAAAATAATTTTTTCTCACATACTGTAGCATATTTGAAATTAGAATGGATACTGTTCAACAGTAATTTTGTCAATTTAAGAAATACAGAATACAAAATATATACATAGAGGCTACTGCAATTAATATTGATGTTTATTAGAGGCTATTGTAATTAATACTGATGTTTATTAGAGGCTATTGTAATTAATACTGATGTTTATTAGAGGCTATTGTAATTACTACTGATGTTTATTAGTAATGTGATACTTAGTATCGCAATATTCTGAGATTAAATAGTACAAATGCATTTTTTCATTTCATGCTATGTTTGACTGTTATCTTCTTAGCAAGGCTCTGTATTTGTACTTTACATAATCCAATATTTGGACACTGCAGTACATTATAATAGCAATATGATACCCATTAGAAATAGAATCAATACATGCAGATCCCATTTCCAAGGATCCACTGTATACAGGGGCATATTGAATACAGCACTGAACTTCATGCATCTGTAATATGAGAATTAAATGTTACAGAATGCATAGCATCGTAATTGGGAAGAAATAGAAACCGCTTGAAAGATCACATGTGTTTTCAATGATAATGAGAATAGGGGCTACAAGAATAGTGCTGGAGTTTTAAAAATAAGCGAGACTGCACTTTTTATTCAATTAAAAGGTGTGCTCACATCAAAATATGCAGAAATGAAAATAAAACATTTGGATGATTATTCATTGTTCCAGGTATATTTGGAACCTTTGGCCTTCTAAAAAAAGCTTGGTGAGCCACACCATTCATTCAAAGACTGAAAGCAGAAGAAAATCACAACTTCCTTATCCATAAATCCTTTAGAAACAGTATCAGGAATCAGATTACTGCCTAAAGCAAATCCAATACTACTCATAAACATCAACAAATAAATAAACTTAATTGAAGTGATCTAAAAAATATTGGGAAGTAAAAGAAAAAGTGCACAAGGACCATGACATTGTGACAATGTAATGCATCGTGCAAGTGAGTCAGATGGTTCAATAATGGGGGGGGGGGAGAAACGGGGTACAAAACTAAGTATTAATAGTTTCCCCACATTTAATCTTATTTCATAAATTATTATGAATATGTACAGCTCTTACATGTATTATATGAAGGTTAAATTTGCTGTTATTAAGAGAACCCACTCCTAACTTTGAAATGGCTACATAATAAAGTTTTTGAAAAAGGCTGAAATAAAAACTGATTGTGTAATTTCAAGTAAGAAGCAGAACTGACTGCTTGGTCATTTGTTTAATCTATTTAACAACTATTGTATATCTATTCTCACCTCCACCTCAAATGAAATCAATCAATCAATAAAATAAAATCACAATTTTCAACTTCTCAAATCTTAAGAGTTCAGTTCAGTGAGGAAAAATATATACTGGAATATTATTCAAACCACTTGCATCTTTTTTCTGCACATATAACTACAAAATAAGGTCTTTGAGTCATAAAACTGATTCTATCATGACACAAAATTTTAAACTTCTTATTATATGATAGGCAACTCTATGAACAAAAAACATTACATTAGGTGCAAAGTATCCATATATTGAAGAGAGATTTTTCAATGTCCTTTTTGTTACCTTAATAATGGACTAATAGCGATAGACCAGACCCGGTCTTCTGTCTGTATTGTATGCAGACACTGCCCAGCCCTGCCCGATGACAAGGACCAAACCTGAAGAGAGAGAAAGAATGATTAATGCATAATAAGATGGATGTAGTAATAGTTGTGTTGAAAAAGAAAATTCCTCCCAATGAGATATTTTGAACACATTCTTAAATTAATGAAAAACCTCCATTCTATTATTTCAGTTACAAGATTTTAGGAGAATAACTTTGTTTATAGCAATAAAATAACAGAATGCCATACACTTAAGAGTAATTATGCCTCATTGTATATAATTTGTTCCCAGTCTAAAATGGTTTTTGAATGATTTTACAAAAACCGGGTACTGAGGAACAGAGTATATTAATCTGCAGGCAGAACTTGTTTCAAATTCCAAAATTCCTCTTCACCCTCCAAAATTGATATTCTACTTTTCACATGATAAGATCTGGTCCTCACTCATTTATCCTCCCTCCCCTCCCATTCAAAATCTTAAGGGTATTCAAAGGGGCATATTGTTTGTGTTTATTTGTTGACATTGATAATGCTTAGGATTGCAGACTATTCAGTGTCAGTGAGGAATTTGGCACCTAGTGTCAGCAAAAGCAGCAGAAAAAACTTAGCTCTTTTAATGCATCCCTATCTCATAGAGGTTAAAAATATTGCTAGGAGCATGCTATCTGGTGCCTATCAATGTGGAATGTGCATTAGCAGCTACTCAAAGCTCAACCCTAATCAACACTCACTATCCTTCCAAAGCACCCAATGCACTTACAGCTCCCATTAGGGGACCTAATAGGGATTCCCTTCAAGTTAGTAGTTAACACAAGGAAAATGTCAGGGTAAAAATAAAAGCAATTCTCTGCTCATGAGGAACAGGCTTGAAGAGTGTTAGTTGAGCCAGATTCCATTTCAGCCTTGAAAAAAAAAACCAATGAAGACAATTAAAGGAAAATTCTTTATGACTTTCAAAATGCCGCCAAGGTCATGGGATGCCTTCAACTTCAGAAAAACAGAGCAAGCACGCTGGACCCTACAGAATTCTACATAGTGGAATATCCACCATAATTAAATAGTTATCTATCTTCTCATAAACACTTGGTATGCATTTTTACAGTTCTGTTAAGTCAGTAAAATCCTCCAAGACAAACTGTGAAGTAAAAGATGCCCCATATCAAAATATGCTGTCTTGAGACAAGTTCCACAGTCCTATTGAGTCATGTTTCTATATGGATATATGGTTTGGGTCACTGTCCCCTTTCATATCATATTAATGCTGTAACAGTATCACATATTATATTTATGCTTTTTACGACAGCTTCTGGGGAGGAATGCAGAAACTTCCAAATTACATAGAACTGTTTTTCAGTAAGTGCAGAAATTATTTCTGGCCTATATATAGAAAATAATAAAAATAAATCCTTGTTCTAAAAATAATTATCTCAATGCATTGGGAGGAGAAATAGAGAGAAAGAAATTGGAAAAAAATGAAGAAAACATTTTGCAACTCTTCCTCTTGCCCTCTGCGCCCCTTCATTGTTTCACTAGTGTAGAGGCCTATAACACCACATGTTCCCAAAGTTATTTGGACTATACAAATCACTTAAGATATGCAATACAATACAATACAATAGCAGAGTTGGAAGGGACCTTGGAGGTCTTCTAGTCCAACCCCCTGCCTAGGTAGGAAACCCTATACCATTTCAGACAAATGGCTATCCAACATCTTCTTAAAGACTTCCAGTGTTGGGGCATTCACAACTTCTGGAGGCAAGCTGTTCCACTGATTAATTGTTCTAACTGTCAGGAAATTTCTCTTCAGTTCTAAGTTGCTTCTCTCCTTGATTAGTTTCCACCCATTGATGCTATAGACATGTAGCATATTATGAGTGTCACAGTTAAGAAATACATTTATACTGTTATAATTTAAAGCAAATGATCACATTGCCATCTTGATCCAGTACTTTTCCTTTAGTTGAGAAAAATAGTGTTTTTTTTTAAAAAAAGCTAAATATTTTCTGTTAATAAACATACTACAACATTGATCTCACACATAAAATAGACGCATACACTTCAAACTGTCCTCTTCCCAATCTGTTTTTGATTATTTTTGTTCCAACTTTAGGACATTTAAGGAAGTGAAACAAGTAAAATATTCTGTTCTGGGCTTCCAAACAGTTGGTCTTGGTGCCTTTATCCAAGGACTAGAAGTTAGCAGGACTTTGGCATTGGGTTTTTATTTGTTCGCAAAGTTAAATATAAGAAGTACATACTAGACACAGCCATCAACTGTCTTTATGTACTTTGACCTGATACCACAAATATACAGTATAATGTATGTGCCCACCTTTGCTGTTCTGTCTCGAGAACCACTCACAATGATAGCCTCTTGGCAATCCACACAGTTCACTTCCTGTTGATGCCCAAGGATCTTAAAACTGAAGGAACCATTAAGTTTATGAAGGGCAATATTTCCATCTCTAGAAAATAAAATCACAAGCAAGAAAATCACCATCTTATATAAGATCATACAGCATGTCATACTGTGGCATATGATGAACAGCTGGGCATATCCAGATGAGGGACCTCTTATTCTGTAAGTAAGCCAATTTACTGGATTCTGCTTTAAATTATTCTAGGCTGCAGTCAATAGATATGTGCAAAATTACAGCAGAAAAGGGAATTAGTGGAAGAATAGTTCCTCAACCTCTAGCTGGGATTATAGTAGAGATATAAGCAGAATGCAAGTTTCATAACATAGAGTTCAGTATATATTTAAAATCTAATAAATTCTGCATATGAAAAGGTGTCTACAAACTGATTCTAACTATTCCTTTCAGGGTATATATTCTTTTTTTAAAAATCAAATCTAGAGTTTTAATTTCATGCAAATTTCCAGCATATACAGATATAATTTGACACATTTGATGACAATTTTTAAAAGAATCAAATTACTGCATTATTTATATAACTATTCAATAAAATTCAGAATCTTCCTTTATTTCATTATTACATATTCCATAACCATGTCTTGTTTTTTGGGGTATAATTATTTGAATTTTGGTATAATAGGAAGAGGCAAGGAACTACAGTACATAGCTCACTATTATAAAGCTCTCTTCATAACCAATAGAAAACAATCACAAAATTCAGGTGTTCTGAAAGTCAGTTCTGCCTGTTCTAGTTCATCTATATATCAAAGTTAATCACTCAACAATCTTCATTCTCCTCCCAGTTTCTCTTCAACAATGAACTTACCCTCCTCCACTGATAATATGGCCATTATCAACTACAAAACGGCACACATCCTCCCGGTGACCAGAGAAAACTGTCTGAGGATACCATACCAAATTGGTATCTTTAGGGTGGAGCCAATAAAGGTGAATGTCTTCTGCTTGGGATAGATAGAGGTAATCTCCATCTAGTTGCATCCAGGGCATTAAACTGGAGAGGAAAATATTTTAAATACAAATCAGTGTGTGTGATTTGGAATATATATATATATATTATTCCAAATATATATATGATATATCATATCATATTTTAATCTGCTTTGCAATTTTTGTCATTTGTAATTACAAAATTTGTAATTGCTGTGCAACTAATAGATCTTTAAATGCACTTTCTCTCCAGAAACACACCATAACATTGGTAAAGTACAACACTTGAAGGAGACCCAATATTCAATCTAGCTAGTAGTCTGGCTGGTATACATAAAATCAGTTTGATTTCAAATGCAGGTGAAATGAAATCCTAAATTAGAACTTCATAATTTTAGAACTTCAAACTTCTCCTTTCTTAAAGCATGAACCACGGTAGCATAGTGGTTAAAGTGCAGTTCTATACGCTACTTCTGTTGACTGCCAGATGATTGCAATTCGGCAGTTCAAATCTCACCAGGCTCAATGTTGACTCAGCCTTCCATCCTTCCAAGTTGGGTAAAATGTGGACCCAAATTGTTGGGGCAATATGCTGACTCTGTAAACCGCTTAGAGAGGGCTGTAAAGCACTGTAAAGCAGTATATAAGTCGAAGTGCTATTGCTATTCATGTTGTATTTTGTATTAATCCCAACCAAATCAACTCAAATTAAGAAGAACCTCCTTTATAAGAGTGTGTTCATACATCTGTTTTTCCAACTTAAAACAAAATATTCTATGCTATAAAGAGAGCAGTGAATACAGTAGGCATGGGAGCCCTTCCATACAAAAGATATGAAAACAAGCATAAAAACTATACTGGAAAAATATTGTGACCGAGAAGACTTCTATATAATGGTAGATATTGCAAGAAAAATTAAAAGCAACAAAGTGGTTCATTATAGGAAGTGGAAAGTAATCTTTAAAAAGAAATAATATACAGTACCAACCTAACAACTTGTAAAATGGTCTGGACCAGTTTATTTCTTTTCAAAATATATAGGTCTCATCAATTAAGATTATTCATAACGTTTAGTAGTTCGTATCTACTTCATTTAATAGCAAGGGAATCTCATTATCATTACATAACGCATTTACCCTAAGCATGACTAGTTTGTCCTGAAATATTAATAAAAATTGTATATATTATTGTCTATTGAGGCAATGGTCAATCAATGTCCAGGCTTTTCGGTTCAAAGGTTCAAATCAGTTAATATGTTTTCCTGCTGCTGGTTCACTGCCCATATTTCCAATGCTATATTAACAAACACAATTTAAAGAATTGCTTCATTTCTTGATGCTAACTGCAGCTTTGTTATTACAAAACATCTGATCAGGGGCATTTAAAATATGGGAAATTGCTCCAGCAGAAAAATATATATACAACTATCAAAAATGTGAAAAAATGGAAATGAAGGATACATTTGCCAATTTACCGTATTTTTCAGAGTATAAGACGCACCTTTTTACCCCCAAAAAGAGGGTGAAAATCTGGGTGTGTCTTATATTCTGAATGTAGCTCCACCCACCCGCTCCGCACGCCACATTTGGGGGGGGGGTTCCATGCAGCGGGGATCCTCACTTTCACATGGCGCCTGATTCCTGAAGCTGCCTGGGGAACTGCAATGAAAGCCTTTTCAAGGAAAGCATTTTTGGGCTGCAGGGTCCTCTCCTCGATTCCAAAAAGGATGCGTGCAGAGGCCAAACAAGTGCATCGTGTTTCAGGTGGCAGGCAGTTCCAGGACGCGCTACCACCCGAAAATGCTTTCTTTCCCAGTTCCCCGGTGCACATCACAGAGCCACGTGCCCCCCTCCTCCTCTACAGACTCACTGCCTGTTGTCTCCTGGCCAGCACCATTGGCTGGGGGAGGCAGGGAGAAAAGAGAGGGCAGCGCAGTCGGGCAAAGGCGCAGGAGCCGGGCGCAGACACAGGGCAGGCAGATTAGAGACAGCCGGCCAATTGCCGGCTTGGTGGCTTGGCTGCTGGCCACCCAGATGAGCAGGCAGCAAAGGAAATCTGTGTTGTGGCTCTATTAAGATGCGCATTTCATGGTGGGGTACAATTTGGGGGTGGCTGGTGGGGCAGGGAATGGGGTGCCCTGGTAACTGCTTCTTGGAGCTCACGCCCTTAAGTGTCGCTGCCAGCGAGTATGGTTTTGCGCCCCCTCTCCCGGATAACAGCCAACAAGAGAGGAGAGGCAGCACGCTGGGCAAAGTTTCACCACCCCCACCCCAATGAGCGAGGGGAGAGTCCAGCAGCACCCAGGGCACTTCTTCGCCACTGGCAGGGATGCCGGGCAACCGCATTCGTAGTGGGACACAATTTGGGGGTGGCAGGTGGGGCAGGGTATGGGGAACCCTGGCAGTGGCAAAGAAGTGCGCTGCTGGACCCACCCCTTCCTTCGCATAAGGAAAAGGAGGAAAAGGAGAGCATAAAACTAAGAATGTATTGAGAACTGGAATATTAGAAAAATATTAGTGATATAAGCTAGTAGAGCCTTACAATAAGTAATTGCAAAATGTCCAAATTCAATGTAACAGTCCAATAGAGACCAAAAATGGGAAGAATTCCAAAGAAAGGTAATTCTAGCTGTACATAGTAGGGTGAGGAAAGAAAAGGAATCACTTGCTTGCGTTTCCATCTGAGGAGTGGAATTCTTCGACAGCGTCCAAGCCTCCAATTCTGAGAAACTTTGATCCTTTCTTTCACTGGGACTCCTACCACCCTGCGGGAAGAAAAGACAATGTGAAGTCAGGACCTGATAGGACTCCATGAAAATTATATGACCTAAAGAACTGGTGATTTTATTACCGTTCCAGTTTTCAAAGGAAAAGAAAAACAGAATTGGCCACTCAATGTAATCTACTTTACTACAATAGAATATACTTGCAGTCCTAGTACACAAGAAATTAAACTCTTTGAAATTTTCCAGAGAGAAATCTTCTAACGCATTATACTGACTGTATATATTTCCAGAAATTTAGCAGACTTTGGTATATGTATCTCATTATTTTCCATGAATTTAGAAAATGTGAATGAACAATATTTCTTCCCATAGTTATCATATGCTTCTGAAACTCTGGTGCACCAAACTGGGATGTATCTTTATTTAGAATTGTTTTAAATATGAATTTGAAAAAGAATTTGTCTTATTAGTGCTTAAAATAGTTATGTATGGTTCCAAAATTTGGTTCTTTATGGGGGAGAGGGGTCAGCTTAATAAACCGGCTAGTTTCTTTTTCTAGTCAATATTAAACTTAGGACTTTTTCTATGGTCATTTCCCATTCCTGTTTTCCAAGTCACTGCTTACAGTTTATTTTCATTTGAAAGCATGTGGTTCACAATGAATCCTCATGCAGAGGAATATATTTGTAACTACAGCTCAAAGCTATAAACTGGCTCAGAGCAAACAGGACTTGCCCAAAAACAGTACAAGGGGAAGGAAACAAGCATTTCATTTTTAAATGAAAAACGATCAGTCACACATCAAGGTGGTTTTGTTTAACCAGCACTATCAAGAGGTCAGAGTTTAAATTTAGTGCTTGGTGGACTAACAAAATGAAGAATGAGTATCCCCTAAATCTTCTGCACGAAATCAAACTACTTTTAAAAGCATATATAACAGTGGGAGAAGCAACCTTCAGAAATGTTTTATCAAGGCCTTGTGCATTCTATCACCAAGCTCTTGACCACCGACCCCTCAAATTCGAATTTGCAAGCTGCAAAAGTAGAGTTATTGTAGCTGTTTATTATTAACACAAATTTGAAAGGATATTGTTCTCATGAAACTAGAAAGGTGAGTTCAGGCTAATTAGCCACAGTCAACTTCAACAATCTAGATTAAGCAGGTGTTACTGCATGTTCCATCCTTCATTACCCTTATTTCACGCTTTCCTCTGCTATTATTCTGGCCATCCTTATTGTTAAAAGTTGGGCTCAAAATTACTTGTAACAATGATTTTTGTCCAATAATGCTCATGTCAGGCCTGCATTTATATTCCTTTTAGAATTTTGGCCTGCCACACTTTCTCTTATTTCATTATGCTGTTTCTTTAAGTATAGTCA